CTACTCAGACAACACTTCTGACACCTAATGTGTGGGGTGTTTTGGTTTTTTTTTTCCCCTCACACCAAGCAGTTCTCCAACTGTCTAGACACCAATCAGGTGTTCTACAACTCAATTCAGACACTGAAGTTATCATCAGATCCCACAAGTTAAGGGCTCATTCCCTCAAGACTGTCCCCACTTCAGATGCTAATGCTAATTTTAAGTCTGGGCGTCCTATACTTCTGACCTACCAGCTATGGATTGGGGGGATTCCGACAGCCTCTTCCTGGGGTTCTATAATTTGCTAGAATGACTCACAGAACTTAGGGAAACACTTTACTTATGTTTACTGGTTTATTATAAAGGATACAACTCAGGAACAGCCAGATGAATGAGATGCATATGGCAAGGTGTGTGGGGTGCACAGAGCTTCCCAGCTCTCTCCAGCACACCACCCTTCCAGTACCTTGGTGTATTCACCAACATGGGAGCTCCTCAAATCTCCTTGTTCTAGAGTTTTTATAGAGCTTAATCCTCTCCTTCCTAGAGGTCAGTGAGTGGGGCTGAAAATTCCAAACTATAATCACTTGTTTTTTTCTGGAAACCAGCTCTGCCCAGCAGCTATCTAGGGTTCCCAGCCTGAGTCACCTCATTAGTGTAAACTCAGGTGTGACCAAACGGGCCCCTTATAAACAACAAAAGATACTCCTATCACTTAAGACATTATAAGGATTTTAGGAACTCTGTACCAGGAACCAGGGATAAAGTCTAAATAAATTTCTTATTATACCACAGTTTTCTTCTACATTTTCTTCCAAGTTTAATGTTTCATGTTTACATCTATGATCCATTTTGAGTTAGTTTTCATATAAGATGTGAGATATGTCAGCCTAAATAACAGACAGGGAGAGGCTGTCTAAAAGAAAACAATATTTATTCAGGAATAGGGCATTGAAATGGGAATGTGTGTGTCATAGTAAACTATGTGCTTATTCAGGAAGGTAGAGTGAGACAAAGGTTTTTAAAGGGAACTTGAGGAGCATTACATAATTGTTTTGAGATCATTATTTCTGGCTGCAAAGATCAATAACAAGAGTGATGCCAATCGGAAATTGGACAGGCAGTTAAATGTTGCAATGGCCTGTGTGCAAGGCTGTGGTTTTTGAAGTCTTTTGTGATAGTTTTGTTATCAGGCATACAAGTGTGAGAACCCTTTCTTTGCAGTCTTCCCTGGCCTATTTGTTAGGTTTATTATTTATTTATTTTTTAGACTCTTGTCACCCAGGTTGGAGC